TGAAGTGACAGCTCATTTTGTCCATTTTCGAGACACGTCGGCCAAAGACCCAAGTCTGAGTGCCCAGAGCTGCTGGTTAGCGAGCCGGATGCAGCTGGACTCCCCGGCCGGCCCGGCGCGCCCCTGCGGCACAAGGGCACGCGCAGCCAGCACACGGCGTGGGAAGGCGGCACTGGAGAGCCAGGATCGAGTCAGACCAATACGTTCCACTGCGTCCCCAGGGGCATTCTCAAGCGCAGTGGAGTTTTTACCGTGAACGCACAGCCATGAACAGAAGAGCGGACCAGCACCGTCTGGCACCACCGCCCCTCCCCGATTCCTGCGAGGGTGCCGGCAGGTTGACCCACGTGTAGATCCCCACACAGAGAGCGCCAAAGGCCAGTGCCACCTTGCCTTATTACTTTTTTTTTAAGATTTTATTTTTAAGTAATCTCTACACCCAACGTGGGGCTAGAACTCATGACCCTGAGATCAAGAGTCGCATGCTCCACCGACTAAGCCAGCTGGGCGCCCCTGTCTTATACTGTCATTGAAATAAGGGTCGGGGGGAGCCCGGAGCCCACCGCAGGAACAGCCGAGCTGCACACCGGCACTGTCCTCCGCCTGCTTTTCTGTCCCCACCGCCATCCCAGCAGCCTTCCCAACACACTTGGTTTTAGACTCCATGGCCACAAAATGTGGACTTGTCAGTGGAACGTTGTGACCCCGTTCTAGGCTTTGTTGGAAACAAATCATTGCGGGTCCTGCAGCTTAGGTCCCTTCGGCAAGCTATGGAGTTAAGGCCTCATCTCCTCATCCGTCCCATGGGGACCATCATTCCCAACCAGGTAAGGTGCTGGCAGCCTTGGAGAACACAGCGTCTGTGGGACCCCTTTGCAAACTACGCATTTTTTCTTCAGTCCATCTTTATCATGTGTCAGCACTGTCCATAAATGAGGTCCCTGCTTTATAATAAAAAAAACCTCCGTTCCAGGGGTTGGGATATAATGAAAAATCCAGAGAAAGCAAGAGTGACCATAAGTGGCTGGGGAGCTGCTTTAGATGAGGTAATCCGGGAAGGCCTCTCTGAGGAAGTGACCCGGCAACTGAGAGGGGACGACCAGAGGGAGCCAGGGGTGCAAAGAGCTGAGGAAAGAGCATTCCAGGCCTTTCCACCCAGGAAGCAGAAAAGGCAGGCGGGGCCAGATCAGGAAGCTTTGCGCACTGGGGTGAGCAATCTGCATTCTCCTCCCAGCGCCCGGGACGCTGGGAGAGGACCAGTCCGGCAGGAACAGGATCGGCTTCCACCTGGGAAAGATCGCCCCGGCCACCGCATGAAGAATCGGCCGCGGGCAGAGTGTGTGTAGGGAGACCGGTGGGCGTGCGGGTCTGGTCATCCGGACAAGACGGCAGCTGCGTGCGCTGGGCTCACAATGGGCAGAGACAGAGCGCGGCAGCCCCGCGGAAGATGCACTGGGAGGCAGAGCTGGCAGGCTCTACGTGTGAGCCGGACAGGGCCACGAGCAGGGGAGGAGGGAAGAAGGCAGGGTAAATCCTGGGTGGACAGCGTGAGTGGTGGCCGCGTGCTGGGGCGGAGCACACCGAGGCAGAGCGGACGTCCAGGAGCTCCAGGCCCAGGTCAGAAGTGAGGACGGCGCGGGGACGAGTCGCTCGTGTGTGAACCGCACGTAAAACGTGAGCCTGGACAAGACCCGCTGGTGAGGGGCCTACGCAGCACAGCGGGAGGAACCAAGATCGCTGTCCGCCAGCAAACGGGTCTAAGGAGGAGGGATGAGACCCCAGAGGGAGACCCGGAGTTTCGGGGAGACGTGGAGGCAGGTGAGGAGAGTCTCGGGAGGGAGCGAGTGGCCCACGGCAGATGCCGCGGAGAGGTCACACAAGAGAGGGACAGAGACATGACTTTCAGATTTAGCAACCGGGGCGGCCTGTGGAGGGCGGTCTCAAGGCTGAGCAGGGAGCCTAACTGGAGCAGCTGAGAGAGATGCGAGGGGAGCGAGCACTGTGGGGTGAGCCTTCTACTGTCCCTGCGTGACTCCGAGGCACCCACGCAGCTTCCTCCACGGCTGCGTCAAAGCACGGCTTACGAAGCCAGGGGACAATCAGCTGAGAGACCCGTCTGGGAAATGGTTCATCATTTTATACCTACGTCCCCTACACACGTGTAGTGCAGCATGTGTGTCCGTGGTTTTGAGGGCAACAGCCCCCCGGTGTCCCTGATTCTGTCCCACACGTGTGATAAAGACCCATCTGAGACCAACCGTTCCCACGGGCCCACCTTCCAGTGGGAGAACGAACTTGGGGACAACCACGAAGTATCACAGCGAAACACAAACGGGGCCGTGCGAACCTGTTGGCGTTGGCCACAGGCCTGCGGATGGTTCATTCCGAGCTGTAGCTTACGTAAGTCTAGTTATTTGCCGATGACCAGCCCAAGGTGCTACTGACGCGTCTACGAATCATTCACTCTACACAGAACTCACTACACAACAAACTAACTTGATAACAGCGCATTAATCCAACAGTAACTTAGGACTTAAAATGCAATTATACTGGCATTGGAAAACCAGCACTGATCCAAAACAAAAATCGTGGGAATCCCACGAGAGTGGGCAGGTGCGGTAGCTCTCAGCAAAGATGTCGAACGCTGAGTGGCAGAACACTTTTTAGGGCCATCAGTCAACTTTAGTGAAGATACCGATTGTAGGAATCCTTAACAACTTCACTCAGGAGGCACCAGCAGGTAACCACTACCACACACACAAGATAAGAGTCACACGTGGTCACAGAAAGAAGCAAAGGCTGAGTCTGGGTTTGGGCAATCAATGGCTCACCAAGGCGAGTGGAATGAGTAGGGCCTACTCTGGGACTTGCCTGGCCCACGCATGTCGCTTTACCACAAGGCTGTCCCATCACACTGTGGGAGGGGGCAGGGGAGACAGCCTGGCCTGGACGCCTGTGTGCTCAAGATTCCTAGAATCGGAGCGGCTGTCTGGTGTTGTGGGAACAGAGCACAAGTCACACCCAGGTGACCCACTGGTGAGAACCAGCCCCACAAATGGGGTTCGTGTTGCCTGCAGCGTTGGACTCGTTGTGTTTTAGAACATCTGAGAGAGTGCCAACAGTTTTAAACCAGAAGGCATCTCAGTAAAAAAAAAAAAAAAAAAAAGTCTCTAGTTTCTCAAAGCAGAAGAGAGAGAGAAAGGACAAGACCTGGCTGGGAACCACCTGCCCCTTCAGCTGTTGTGGCTGTGCCTTCCAGAGCCCACCCTCTAGACAATCAGACACAAGTCGCTGTCAGCTGCCACTTATCTCTGACCCTGTGCCTTCTCCTTCTATCTGGCCCATTTCCTTCACTTACGCTACCTCCCAGCTGTTAGCATCATTTGGATTTGTAACCTTTGCCCTGGCAGGGGTGCGGAAAGGTCCCCCTGGGGCTGAGTCCGAGGAAGAGATGACAAGGCCTGTTAGGATGCCAAGCTCTCACAAACTGACCTGAAAATATCAGCTTCTGATTTTCTTCCTCACTGAACACCTTGCAAAGGTCAGACACAGCCAACGTCCTCCCCTGGCTCTTTCCTAAGGAAGGATCTCAGTAATTACTCAGATTCCTAACTTTTTTCTTAATAACCTATGCTGCGCTTATCAGGGAATGCTGATCATTCACAAATTAATGTTTTAATTAGAAGGTCAAAAATATATCCATTAATCAGTTTGAACAGTTTGAGCTTTGGTATAGGGTGGCAGAGGGAACCACATTTCAAAAGAAAGAAAGAAAAAAAAATGTCCTCCAAACAGTAGAATGGGGAAAAAAAATGATTAGACAGCTACTTTACAATAAATTTCTTTTCATATAAGCATAGCGACCACAAAAGCTTTGAACTATGAGTTAGTACTAAAGATGTCCGTAAGACACACTTTATACAATCTCTTCCAATGACTATCTCCTCTGCTCCTTAAACTACCTCTGGATGGAACAAATTTTCCTAAGGCAAGTCAGTAACAGAAGGACTGGTTACTAGCAACTAAGCAGAATTACCATCACGGTGATCTTACATACGTTCAACATCATAAACGAGAAACAATCATCTCACCCAAGCACGTTCGTAAGTCCAGAGCAATCACACTGTAACATAACACCAATTACCTTTCTTATACCACAGAAATGTTTAAATAAAGACAGTCTTGAAGGAGAAAATAAATCACAAAAAGACAAACTTTAAGTGTGCACAGAGGAGCAGGTCCCCACCTCCTTGCTTTAGAGACCAGGAGGTAGACAGTGGTTAGTTGAGGACAGGCTCACCAAAACTGGCTGATTTCCTTCCTACCAGCTGCTTACGAGACACTGTTCACACTCCCAGGACCATGGAGACCCCCTAAAACCAGGACCCAAGATCCAATCCACCATCCTCTAACTCAACTGTGGCAAAAACCCTTTCTCCACGCTACAGCCCCATGACACCACACAAAATGAAGAAGAGTCTGGACGCAAGACAAGCCGTGTGGAAGGCTAGGATGAAGTTCTTTGTAACTTTAAAATAACTTTGCATTAATTTGTTACCAGCTAAACATTTCCCCATAATGTTGTTTCCCAGCACTGCGATTCACAGAGCTTGAACAAAAAAAAGGAACCCGGGCAGGCTAACCACGTGGGTACAAGTAATCTAGCCCAAGGTGTCCTTGCTCCAGCGCCAACAGGACTAAGCACACCAAAGAGCGTGCGAACACTCGCAAGTCTGGGCGTTCGAACTCGGCTAACTTTTACTGTCGGAACGAAAACTGTCTGAATTAAAGTAACATTATCCGGTGAGTAGCTACCGACCACAACACCCTTTTTCCATTCACCACCAAGAACGAGTCTGACGCGTCACTCGTGCTGTTTAGTTCACCTGCAACATGTGGCTGGGAAAACAGCGCTGCTTTCCCAAGGGCGCTCTTCTGGCCCTGAACTTTCTTCGTGGACAGAACTCCCGAGGTCCAAGGGCGCAGCCGGAATCACTTACCCGGTCCTTCATCCTCCAGCTCTGCGCTAAGGACTTGGAGCCTTCGATTTTCTCACAGTGCCTCTTTTTCATAAAAGCCAAAGGCAGGTTCCAGTCCGTAAGGTCGGCCTCGTCTTCCTCCCCGAGTCCCAGGAGAGGGGACTGCAGCATCTCGGACTCCATCAGCGGGGGAGGGGGTGGGGGAGTCCTTGGCAGTAGGCGCTCGAGAACCTCCAGCCTTAAACACTAGCTGCACCAGAACTGGTGAAATAAGAACCGGGAAAGGGGCGGTGCGGGGAGAGGGAGCGGGGAGTGTGCGGAGACCCCTGCTCGGGCAGAAAGTCCGGGCCCCTCTAACTCTGCGCGGGAAGGGGAGCAGGTGGGAAGCGCAGGGCGGGGAGCGGGGCCGGCCGCGCGGCTCCGCAGACACACACGCCCCCAGATCCGGGCCGTGCGTCCCACGAGGGGCGTCGAGCGGAGCTGTCAAAGGCGCGAGGGACTTCAGGCCTCACGATGACCCTCCTCCCGGCCTCCAACGCCTCCGCCGCTCCGAGGACGGGAAGGCCGCCCGCTCTCGGCGCCGGTTCGCCGACTAGGCTGAGGTCTCCGGCCGAGGGGAAGAGGTTCAGAGCGCGTCGGGGCTCCCGCAACCACTCTCAGCCCTGCGGGTCCCGCACTCGCCGGAGCTGCTGCACCCTGAGCCAGGACCGGCCCATCGTGCTCGCCCGCAGCCGGCTCCTCGGCCCCGGATCCGCGCGGCCTGTCCGGTGCTGGCCTTCGGCCCCGTGGCTCTCTCCAGCCCGAGAACCGGTCCTGAGAAGAGCGCGACACGGAGGCGCGAAGAAGACAGGCAGTGCGGGCTTATGGGGTCTGGAGAGTTTTGCCCTCTGGTTTGAAGCTACAGTGAAACTCCTCTCATCAGCACATCAAGGAGGACGCCATGTTGCCAACACCCAGCATGCATCGCGATCTACGGCGTGACCAACGGGCCAAACTTCCTCAGAGCGTTCTGGCCGCGCTTCCCGAGATGCGGAAATAGAAATTCCCCCTTCTTCGTTACTATGGTAACCACAATTCAGCTTTCTTGAGTTTATGGCGTTCATTCAATAGATGGGTGATATCAGTCAATCCTACAAATGAAACTATGGCAATTTAATTAATTTTGAAAAAAGCTTTTTATTGTTACATGCTCGAAATTAAAGCAACTGACCCCCCTGTGGTTTCTTCCAGATTTTGAAAAGGCAGCAAAAGCTTCAGAAAAACCACTGACGTTATTACAAAAGATGGGGGGGGAGGTGCGCGGAGTATCCTCCACAGTATCAGGTTTTCTTTTCTTTTTCAGGGAATACTCTTGGGGGTGATTAATTTCAGTGATACAGGTTCTTACTGAATTCGTCTTATTTTCCAAGCAATTTATTCTTCTCTTGATATAGTTTCATGTGCAAACCAGTAAAAGCTACAGGTGCCTATGCGTGGCGGCACGCCTCCCGCCTTACTTTATTTTTCATTCAGGAAATATTGCTTTAAAAAAAAAAGATTTTATTTATTTATTTGAGAGAGAGCGAGAGAGCAGGGGGAGGGGCGGAGGGAGAGAGAGAATCCCGAGCAGACTCCCCTCTGCATGTGGAGCCCAGTGCAGGGCTGGATCCCACGACCCAGAGATCTTGACCTGAGCGGAAACCAAGAGTCAGACCCTCAACCAGCGAGCCACCCAGGCACCCAGGAAACTTCGCTTACTTACAGTGTGTGCAGAACTGTGACCTTCTGCCCTAGCAAGGACCACAAAGCGCAGTGCCTGCTCCGTGAACACTGTTAGTGAGACGCACATGGACCCATTTAATAAAGCCGGGCGGGGGCCGAAGAGGCGGGTCTTCCCCTGTGCCTCTGGGCTTTGGTGCCAGGTGCACCTGGCCCCCGATCTTGACTGAATCGCTTTCCATCCCTGTAACCCTGGTCAATTCTCTAACTAGTCCGGCCTCAGTTTCCTCAAATCTAAAACCGGGATGATAATACCCAGCCTGAAGGATGCACATGACAGGTGGACGTGCCTAGTCCAGTATGAACACCCGATCCGATGCTAGCACGATCCTTCCATAGCAGAGGGAAACCTAGCAGCTGTGCTTTGTTAATCTAAAAGCTCAGCTTGGACTCTAGAAGATACCCGGTCTCTCCATGGTTTCCCAGGTCTTTGACCCAGTGCGGGAGTCCATATCAAAATCCTGATGGCTTTTGTGTTCCTCTCTACCTCAGAATGAAGCGTTCAATCCCAGGTCTTTCTCCCCTAGCGCATAGCAAGTATGCCAAGACTTAATTTCATTTTACATCCGACTGAGCTGGATTCTCCCCTTAAAACTCAGGGCAAATCTACCAAAACACAGATGGAGGCTAAAACCTTCCTTTTCCGGGCTCTCAGAGTTGGCCAAATATCCCCACAGGCACCAGAAGGCTTGGGGACTGCAGGGTCTTGGGAAGACCCTAGTCTTACCTCAACAGCTTTAAACCCATTCATTCCTAACTAGCCTGTGACCTGGGAAAACCTGCTCAGTCTGTGTGAGACTCAATTTCCTCACCTACAAAGTGCGTGTAGCCTTGGGATAGCACTCACCTTGTCTGATATTCTAAATGAAGGTCGTATAGGCAGGCGCCTATGGAACCCGAACCTGGCAGGTCATCAGAATCGCCAGGAAACTATTTAAAAATAAAGAGGGCTGAATCCCAGCCCAGACCCACTGAATCATGGGGAGTGGGAAAGCAGGGATTCAGGGCCTCTATTTTTTGATCAGGTAACCCTGATGAGAGCTTAAAACCAGTCAGATCCAGGGATATTGAAAAACATGTTCTCTAAAGATATTAGGCAATGCTGTCCTCTAATGTTTCCATTCCGGCCACATGGCAGGCCCTCAATCGACATTTGTACCCAGTAAATGTGTATGACGAAGCAGTCACCCAATCGTCCATCTATTAAATCAGAGCAAGACTCGCCCTCTCCTCTGACTCCAGGCCAAAACACACTCTACTCTCTCCTGTTTTACAAATGTGACCCCAGAACCAAGAAGCCATTTGGGGTCCATGTCCTGGACAGAGGGTCCTGACACACACATTTTGGGCCCCAGCCAGGCACCAGTTCCTGCAGACAGTAGCAAAGCCTCTACCTCCTCTGCCCTCAGCCTCCACCTCCGTGGTATGAGGAACTGAAAGAAGGTGAAATCTAGGCTATTTTGGGTCCAAAATTCTGTGATTCATGTGAAACCCAGAAAGGGGCTGGCAACAGCCCACTCCCAACCCGAAGGCTCAAGAATGGGCTTGAATCATTTCATAGCATCATGACATTTAAAAGAACCCTCGTTCCAGTGTGTCATGGATGGTTCTATCCAAGTCCCAGATAAGCATTTGGAGCTGTGGCTCCAGGCTGCGGGAAGGCAAGGAGCGTCTATGACTAATGCTGGGCTGGAAATTCAAGGCCTACAATTTCTCACCTGGGTGATCTCATCCCCAGCGTGTGTGACCGGTGGGCCACCAGAGGCTGCAATTCCAATCTCCAGTGTCCGATCCTTCACAAGCAAGGACATCTCATGCTTTCCACAGAACCTCGACATAAGATGCTTTAATCTTGAAAAGAGTTTTATGAATCTCAAAAAATGCATGAAACCTGGTCTGATTTTCAAGCTATAAAACCGGGGGAGGGTGTCGCTGACATCCTGCGGGTGGTGAACACCAGGCGAGGAACTGGGAGAGGAGGGGATTGTAGTCCCAGTGCTGATGGGGAACAGCGGAATAACCTGGGACCTGCGTGTACAGGAAGGGGACAGGGCAGAGGGGAGGGAACGTGAAGGTTGACCGGCTGGCCGCTTCCAGCCCTAAAACTTGAGCTCTTTGGCAACCAGAAGCCAAAGACACTGCAAAGTGAGCACGAGAACAAATGTAAAAACCCTTGAATGTGTGAGTCGAATACAACAGAGGTCAAGCGTAAACATAAAAGGGGGGAAATGGGGCAGGGAGAGGGTCTGGATAATTGCCTCAGGGACAGAGCTCATGGCAGGGGGGAGGACAAAGACGGCTGCATGACCCCCACCTCACCTTCTCTCAACACACAAGACCAGCTCAGGCCAAGCTCTTGCGTTTGCACGCGGCACGGGCGGAGTGCCATCCTCCCATATCCCAGCTTCTCCGCTAAATCAATCAAGGGCACGGAATGTGTTTTGTCATCAAGAACCAGGCGCGAGTCTGGAGGTCGAGAAGCGGGGGCCTCGCTGAGCTATACGCTTTCCACGTAGGGAGACCGGCCAGCTCCCATTCCTTCCAGAGAAGTCTGTGCTTAGCTTAAAAGAAACCAAAATAGACCTAAAGCACTTTGCTTTTGTCTGAGCATCATTACTCTGTTTTTAGCAAGATCCAAGCCACCCCCTCGGCAGGTCAGATGTTGTGTTGACAGCGAAGTGAGAAGAGAGAACTAACGGGAAGTGACGGGCCCCAGCATCTCCGACGGAAACGCAAGGTTGCAAAACACCGGGTGCGCCTGTCTCCCTGCCTGCCCGTTTCTCCCGTCTAAAAATACGCCGATCTTTATGTATGTGATTTTCATCCCTATAATATACCTGGTTTTCTTTCTTATTTTTTTTCCTACCCCGAGTGGGTATGGTTTTGATAAGCAGAAACAATGTTACTCCATTTAAAAAAGGAGGTGACCCCCGAGGGGTCTGGGGACTGGGGCAAAAAGTGCTTCTTACTGAACAAAGGGCAGCCGCTCCCTGCGTTTCTGCTTCCAGAGCTGCGAGACTGCATCGCGGCCGCCGCCTTCAAGATCCGGCCTGAAGACGGCACCGGGGAGAGGCACAAAGACCAGGAAACACAAGTGGATCCTGGACAGAAATGTGACCTTCACCCCCAGCACGTTCCTTCTCGCTCTGGGGGCTGTTTTGTGGAGGGCGGTGAAGAGCCTGTCTGGGGGGACCTTGAATTTGGAGCAAGGTGGGGCTCAAAGGAGCAGGAAGCCAGTGTGGCCCGGGCCCCGTCCGCCCTGGGCCTGGCTTCCCGCATGGGCCCCCCTGGCCAGGCAGTCAGGAGAGCCTCGTGCACCCAGCTCCAAGTCTTTACTGGGTCAGACAGTGCTGTCCTTGGCTCTCAGGAATTCTTCACGCAGAAGGGACGAAGTCCCGCTCTTTCCCAGCTCCCAAGGTCCATTCACAGGAGCACCCTCCTTCCTCCTCAGGGCCCTGAAGGTCAAACGGCCGCTATATGGTCTGTGTCCAGTACACATGGTGTTTGAGAAGGGAAAAAAAAAAAAGGGAATGCTTGTATGATAGAGACTATACTGAGAAAATTTGTTATCCCATAAAAAATATACAAACTGAATTTTATAACCTTTTATTTTAATAGAATTGGCTGCAGTAAGATTGTACCTTTATGAAAATACAAATAATAGAACTGTCTCTTTTTAAGCTCCCTATTTGTTCTTTTATGTAATACTCACATCTCATCAGATTCTCAGCAAGCACAAGACCCTGAGGGAGCCAAGGCTAGCCCGACCATCTCCTCTGCCTTTAATAAGGGGATTAGGGAAAATGCCTGTAACTAAAATATTATAATCCTGGTGGTGAGTGTCTGTGGTGAGCCAAGCCCTTTTCATGAGAATTAACTCATTTAATCCCTTAATAGGCTCATTTAAAGGCTCCTGTTTTAGATCCGTTTTACCAGTAGGAAATTGAGACACAGAACAATTAAATAGCCTTCTCAATTTCTCTCTGCTGGCCAGGGCTGGGCGAGGGCCCAATCAGCTCAGTGGAAGGGCCCAGCCTGGGTCGGAGCATCTCCACAGCACCCGAGGTT